TTTAATCAAGAGGTGCTCTGAGAGAACATAAAACTCTCTCCAAAATAAAATAAAGCCAACTGGAGCATCTGGAAATAAGGAGAAAATATCAATGCAATAAACACTCAACAAAGTTGGCCAGTTTTTTTAAAGCTCTACAGGAACATGTTTGGATGTAGTAATGTCCTTGCATGATAGCAGGAGGCTGATTAGCTGTTTTCTACTCCAAGAAAGTATTGAAACCATAACTTTTCTTTGTGTGCTTAGGTAAGACTACGCCAAGGAATCCTGTTTCCTACTTCTTCTGACCTTCACACTTCAGCAGTTAAAATTAGGTCTCTAAATAATTGCTATGATACAAATATTTTTCCTTGCCTTGAGGAGCCCAGGACCAAAGCTTAGCTAATCTACCTCTCACCACCTTTGTGGGTCACACTGGAGAAGCATCACTGTACAGAGGAAAAGCTTGGAAAGCAAAGGGAAAACTGAGTTGACAGGTCAGGGAAGGCTGAATTTACAGGGTGGGGGAAATCTGGCAAAAATTAACATTTTTATAGAAGAATGCGTTTTGTAGAACTAAGAAGTGCAGGTGGAACATAGGAGGCACAGCATAGAAGTGGCAATCATAAATAGCTATTATTTGAGGAGCAAAATATAAGTGAGAAGAGAGATTTCAAGAAATTGAAATTGCATAACTGAAAATTATACAACATAAAAATATAATTTGTCATTTCAGTCACAGGCCTATGCAGACATTGTGCTATATGTGGTTTCAGCTGCTCTAGTTAGAGAAATATGTAATAATTCTTATAAGAATACACATTTGAAAATTCCATAAACTGTGATAGCATGAAAAAACGGAGAAATGTTAGAGTATTTCTCAGGTAGGCAGGTATCATCTGCCACTATCAATCCTATGTCTGTCATATTTACTCCACAAGTTTGAGGAAGAGGATATTTGCCACAAAGTGTGTTTTAGAGGGCATAAACTCTCAGGAGCAGGCACCAGGAGAATGGGATGTCCTCCTAATGAGGGGAAATGTAGAGACACAGCAGAGATGGGATAAAAAGCTGTATTATGTGAAGTCTTTAGAAAAAGAATAAGAGGGGAAGGGAAGGGAAGGGAAGGGAAGGGAAGGGAAGGGAAGGGAAGGGAAGGGAAGGGAAGGGAAGGGAAGGGAAGGGAAGGGAAGGGAAGGGAAGGGAAGGGAAGGCTGTAACTTGTCTAATAAAGTGATTGGGAGACATGGAGATCGGGTTTATGAGCAAATGAACAGGTCATTAAAGAAGAATTAATAAAAGATCAGAGTGTAAAGTGGCGGCATAGGGCAGAACAAATGCAGGGAATTGTAACCCTGTTAGTACAGAAAACTATGAAACAAATTGCACAACTAGGTTCGGTTCTCCATGATTGTCAGTTGTATAACGACTGTGTACATGACTGCTGCATCCACAAAATACAGCATTCAAATCACCTTGCAAGAGATCTTGTTTGTTGAAACCAACAAGCATTTTTTGTTCCATAACTGGGACAAGTAGAAGGGAGCAAAGTGGGCTTTGTACTTTTATTTGAGGGATCTATTCCCTTGGAAGGATATACCTTTAAGGCAGTATGTATTTCTATGATAATTCACCAAAACCAAGTTTTGCACCTGTAGGCAAGCAGACCACTGACAGAGGATAAGGCTTTTACAGTGTAGTTAAAGGAATGAAATGACAAAGATATCCTGTTATTTAAAAGAAGAAGGAGGAGAAAAAGGAGAAGAATAATGAACAAGGAAGAAAAAGGGCAATACACTATTTCTAAACAATCATGTTGTAATATTGAGGGTCTTACACTTCTCTTAAGGGAGGACCATGCTTTCACTTCTCAGAGCATCTTCAGTTTCTCACAGGACTGCACCTTGTGGTCTTCTGAGTAACTACTCATGAGAATATTTAATTTTTTATTCTCTTTCTTAAGACATTTGATGACAGAGAAACAAAGGAGTGGGGTGCTGTCAGTGGGATGTTTTGAAGCTAAGCTATTGTTTGAGCCAATGCAATGATTAGATTGCATTTCCAGATTAAAACAGTTCTGGAAAAGGAGAAAATAAGGTTAACTGTCTAGTTTCAACTGAACACATTTGTGTATTTTATACCAACTAAAATGTTCTGACTAAAAAAAAATAGACAAGTGACTTTAACTTAATTTAGTAATTGCATATGGTATTTTCACATTAGAAGAAAAGACTAATTAATAACAACTGTTGTTTAAAACCCAGCCACTTTACAAAAGTACATTTCTCCATAGATTTCCATCATGGTTTTTACTATGACTAGATTAGGACACAACATCAATACCTAAATACTTCATTGCTCAATAGACTAAGCTTCATTTGAGCTGTTCCAGTCTATTATTCAAATTGTATAATATTAAAATTTATTGATAGGTATTTAATTAGAAGATGACAGCATTTCTTATTAGCTACTTAAACCGAGACCAACAGCTGAAAAATATCAGCATGAAAGCCATACAAACAAAAATCTTTGCTTGGATCTTACACTGAACAAAATCACTTCAACCCACAAATTACAATCATGTTAGTGAGTAATTAAAGCAAGGGACAAAGTCAGGACTACAATATTCTATTCCCAATTCAGCTACTGACTCACAGTGTGATTTTGCTCATTTACCACCTATAAAATGGAAGATGAGATAATGATAATGACAGGGATAATAATGCCTACATAAAAGAAGAGCTAGGAGTCTTAATGTTTGAAGAGAGTTTTGAGATAGAGCTGCTATATAAACAGAGATTATAATTAACAAGGGACTGCAAGCTTGCACGGTTGGTACGTTCTTTGGGATTTCAGAAGCAAAGATAGGTGAACTCTGTATATCTGAGTCCTCTATTGTAAGAGCTTATTTGGGAAATTATGTTTCACAGCTCCCATTACACTGTATTGGAGCCAGGCTTTTAAGAGGTCCTAACTATTTGCCAGTCATTAACACAAGAAACTTTAAAGGCAGTTCAAAATAATCTCATCACTCTGACTACTGGCTCCAGCTTGTCTTATTGTATTATCTTCTTAGTAGAGATGTGTTACAATGCATTTGTATGAAAGACAGGAGAACATGAGCAGATGAACCTGGAGAAAAGGTTCAGTGCCTTAGTGAATGCTGAGTGCCTGAGGCATAGGTGAGCTTGGAGGTTTTCTTATACTATAAATCCATGCCACCAAAGTCTCTGAAAATGGTCAAACACAACCCCAACAATAATTTTCCTGATCAGTTCAGACATCTGCTCTGAGCACAATGATATTCTTCTGTTGTTGAAAACCTTTGAAAATAATGGGTTGCATTAGAACAGAAATCTAGTTAAATTTTAAAAAGAAACGTCAGAAAGGTGAAGTCTCCCTTGCTGAAAGGCAAATCAAACAATAGCTTTGGAAAGATAATATGCTCAACAAAAGTTATAATAATAATGAGAAGCAGATGTATAGATTATAGAACTTTGTAGTGCACAGCACAGTATCACTCTGTAAAACAAGTCAAAGGCATCTGCAAAGGTACATTGGTCTCTTTTTCTTATATAATCAATTAGATGCTTTTAGCAAACTAAATCAGCTAAGAAAAAGAACAGTCTGTAAGTAATCTTTGTGTGCAAACTAATTATTTGTGCAGAGGAGCAGCAAAAACGTCTTTTAATAGCTTGTTTTGTAGGAAAAAAATTATACAGGACAGATTTGTGTAAGGCTGGCAGACTGCAGGAACATGAAGAGATAATAAAGGGGTATTGTAGGTATACATTTTTCTTAAAGATATTCCAGTGCATTACCAATACATTTCTATTTCACCCCAAAACATGGAAATCTCTCAGACCTTTGTGAAATTAAAAATCTAAGTAAAGGCTATAAGAAAATGGTTTGATTCTTCTCAGCTAGTTATGTTTTATTATCAATAATTGTGTTGCAATGTTAGAAGTCCCCATCAAGTCAATGTCATGATACTGAGGCATTAAAGAGGGATCATACTTTACAAGACCACAATCTGATTAAAGGTAACAACAAGGTAAAGTGATTTAGCTAAGGCCACAGAAGGGGTCAGTGGCAGAAGAAGAGCAGCCCCTGGACTGCAAAATCTGCAATGTACATATGGAGCATAAAGACAATGCTTTCAGCTTAAATTGGTAGGCTACTGCAAACCTGAAGAGCTTAAAAAGCTGTAAATATCTTTCATTTAATCTAGCTGCCCTGCCATGTTAGCTTTCATTGCCCCACTTATCTCTGTTTGGCCATGTCTCTGGAGCTGCATCATCCTTATTTCTTATCTCCATTTTGTTATTTACCATTTCAGAGTTGAAGAACAGTTAGCTGGTGACAGGAATAACCACAGGGAAAATCCAAGAAAAGTTATGGGGAAGAAAGAACAGGATGGGCACAAAGCATGTCACTTAGTGTTGCAAGATTTCTTACCGCTGAAAGAGTTCATTTTGTGACAAAAAGTCCAAAAAATGCTCACATTTCTGTGGAAGCAGAAAAACATAGAATGCTGCAGTTTTCCTCTTAAAAAAGATTGAATAAATGATCATGTGTCACTGAGTAAGAAAGATTGGGAGGATATTCATGAAGATTCTCTTCTGTAGCTGCCTTTTAGTCTTTTCTGAACATCTATCTGAAACGCTCAGCACCATTTTCAGCAATAGCCTAGATACTGCTTGTGTGAGGGTTGTTCTTCTGTCCTCAATTGAGCAGAAAGTATGGTGCATCTCTGATTTGTTAGTCACATTACTGGGGAGCAGGATATTGGGAGAGATTTCTGAGGACAGCAAGTGGGATAAACCCAAACAGAACTGACAGAAACATGACATGTCAAACACAAAACTTCTGTGGATGGAAAAGAGCCATTTGTGCTGTTGTACTAAACATGTTTGCCAGGATTTTTGCCCATGTAACACTCAGAGGACCCCAGATCCACTATGACAAGAGCTACAATTCCCTTATTTTTACCCTTGTTTGCAATGAAGGTTCACATCATTTGTCCTTCAGAACCCCTTTGAACACTTTGGAAACACTTTTGTTTCTCTACATTAAAATAACTTTTATGGGTATTGCTTGCAATAAGAAGGAAATTGTTTCTTCTCTTTCAGAGATGTTCCAAAACCACAAAGAAAAGCTGCAATGAAGGCTTTAGAGACTGTGGTTAGGCTGTGTCCAATGCTTGTTTCATGCTGTATTGATCCTGGCACTGCTCTTCTCAGCTTAGAAAATGGTAGATTTCCTATTTCTCAGCCTCATTTTGCCATGACCCTCCTGAGGAAAGCTGAGTAGGAGGCACAGAAGTGTGTGTCAATGGAGAGTGTTCATGTGTGAAGGTGGCTGGGCAGCATCCAAATGAGCAATATTTTATGATATTTTATATATTTTACTTTAAATATTTTATAATATTTTAATTTAAAATAGTCAATATTTTATTTTTAAAAGCCTTACAGAAGATTCACTGCCTCTTATTTCTCTCCAGACTGGTGCTCTCCTTTTGCCTTACCACAACTCAGTCATTAATACCTGTCTTGCTTTAAGCTTCATTCACTTTCTTCATATTTGTTTTCTTCAAGCTTCATTCACATTCTTCCTAGCATCTTCAGCAGGCAGCTGACCTGACTGCTTCCATTCTCTTTTTTAGTGTCAGTATCCCCAGGAGTTTCCAGGCCCTCTGTGATCCCAAGTCCCTGTAATGTGGATGGGAGAGCTTTGTAGGCTGGGTGTGTCATGTGTCCGTCACTGGATCTCACACACCCTTCAGTGGTAATCTCTCCATTCTAGAAATTTTGTATCTGAAGCCTAGGACACACTTCTTCAGATTTGGGCTGTAGAGAAATAAGGTCTGTGGTTTCAAGACAGTGGAGTCAGAAGGTGGGAAACACCAATCATGTAAATGGCATATATGCGCTCAAGAGAATTTCTACAGCTGAACAATGCATACATGGTATTTTATAAATGGTTTGCTGTAGGTGAAAGATGTCCTAAAGTTCAAGAAGAAGCACTGAAAGCATTGGCTGCACAGTTTCAGATTCCCATGGTGGCTGGCTGAAATACATTCTTGGCTGCTTGTCGGGTATCAATGCCAGCTGCCTGGGGGGCTGCTGAGCCTCCAGTGCTGCTCTTGCACTTTTAATTACGATTGCCGCCACGGAAAAACTGTTTGGCATACTACTGCCTAAGTGACTAAGGACTCCAAGAATGTTCACACATTTATTCTTCAAATCCAGCAACTTTCTTTATTGTGTGAAAACTAAAGCATTTCTCCTATTTTTATCTCTTTGCAAATGTGTCCTGGGGATCTATTCTGGCCTGGGTTTCTTCCCTCAGTGACCCCCTCTGGCTTCTGAGTCATTGCCCTGCAACAATATCAAGATTTCAAATGAGCAAATGAGCACAGTTCTCACCACCATATTCTGGTTTCTCCATCTTTGGTTTGCACGGCCTGCTCATCCCTCATATCCTACACATAAGGCAGATTTCTCAGCATCTTCGACTTACTTCCTTTATGGATGGCATTTCTCAGGTTGTCAGTTCCACATCGTCTCCAAATCTGCACATCTTGTTCTACATTTCCTTCTGTAGGATAACCGCTACCTCCTATAAATAGCAGAAACAGAACAGCTCAACATATTGCCACTTGTCACTCTTATCCCACTGTCTCTCTCTACCCCTCTGTCCCATTTGCCATCTCTGGTTTCTGTTAGCAAACCAACTGAGCATTTCATCACCACCAGTGTTCCTTTGTTAACCTTACAGATTCCTGTCTCAGTGGGCGCTGAAAGCTATCCAGAAGTCCTTGTGAAGGATGCCCATATATTCACCCTGTTTCATTCCCATTTTCTTCATTTGGGCAAGATGAGCCAACGTGGCCAAGTTTGAACTTCTTTTTTTCTGCCTATGCTGAAAGTCTCTAACTCAACTGTGCCTGTCCAAGTGTTCGATATGTGCCCCTCACCAGCTTTGCTGTGTCTTAGAACAAAAGCCAGAAAAAGGTTGTGTAGTTACCATTTCTTTTCTTTTGATCTTTTTTTTTTTAGAAGCCAAAGTAGATATCTGTTCTCCAAGTGCAATAGGCTCAATCTTCAGCTGGCATCAGATCAATAGAGCTACACAGTTTTTAGCCCAGTAGAAATTCTCTGTGTCTTCAGCTTCTAGTACACCTATCACTGCATAATGTGAGATCTGTGAGCAGTTCATGTCACTTTAACAGGTACCACTTGTTACTGAGCACACACATGCTCACGGCTGAGCTGAAATCCAACAGGCACCAGCTTCAGTTCTGTGAAGGTGGTTTAAGTTAACACATTTTTTCTCTTACAGCCAGGAAGGGCTAAGAGCATGCACCCACACACTTGGGAAGCCTCAGCATATGAATGGTTATTTATTAAGAGGCAGGACCCAATCACTTTCAGTTAGTGCCTATATATTAGAAGCAAACTATTCTGTCTCTTCTATTTCCATTGGGAAGTTTAAGTGTACCAAAGTGCCCTCTTGGAGGTTTCTTTGACTCTGGCTGTGTTTCTAATCCTTCAGACTTTTACTACCCCAGGCTTCTTGAAGCACACATAGCAGACAGCATAAATCTTCTGTTCTGCTTTGGTTTAAATATGCTCCTCTCATAGTGTTTTCTCAGTAAAACCTTCTACTTTAGGGTACTGGAAGATACAAATGATCACCTCTCTCTGAAGTGACAATGTCTATGTTTGACTGTGTTGCCGAGGTGACAGGAACAGGACAGGTTTGTTTCCTTTTCTGTCTGCAAATGTCAGAGATTCCACAGGCAATTGTCTACAGTGGAACTGCAGAACACACCCACTGTGTGTCCATAAACACATCTACTTAGATTATGTGGTTTTGCTTATTGTAGGTGAGCACTTTCTCTGTCCCAGTAAGAGAGAGCAGGACAGCACGGGAGCCCTCCTTCTCTGCACCTGCTCCCCCAGCAAGTCTGGAGGAAACTGCTTGGGAACCACTATGAGTGGTCACATTTTGGATGCCCAGAGAATGTACTGGAAACAGGATCCTCCCCATGATGGAGAGGCAAGTCAGACCATACCCCACAGCAGAGTGAGGCAGGGGGACACTTTTTTTGGCCTCTCCAAATCTGACCTTGCTGGAGACAAACTTTTTTTGATGCCTCTCAATGTGAGACCTGTCCACTCAGAGCAGAGCCTGGGCACCACCTCCAGATACAGCAGAGGGACAAATGGTTGAACAAGCAACAGCTCTGCTCAGCTCTGCATTTCCAGCAAGCTTAAGCTATGGAACACTTCATGTACACCCTGCTACAAGGATTTTCACCTTCCTTGTTCTGGTAGTAATGTTAACTCACCTGGTTAACTCTTGTCAATGTTCTGATAGTAATTTTACCAAAAACCTTTCATCCTTGTTCTAGTCACCAGCTAGAAAAAAATTCTCTATTTGATTTCAGAGGTTTGATTTGATTTACTAGGAAATACAATCATGTCAGGAGACCACGCTACCTTTCTTTCTCTAAAGATTTTTGGGATCTTCCCCAACACTTGTACACATGTCATATCAGTTATTTACATTTAAAGCAACTTCTGGAGGCTCTGTATTAACTCACAGTCCTCTAGCTGTTTTCTTAATTGTTTGAATCAGTGTCCATATTTGTGGAACCTGAAATATTTTTACCACTTTTGTTTTCACTTCTGAATACAATTTGGAAGTTATTTCCAAAAGTTTGTTTTATAAGCTGCTGTTATACACTCATCTTAAAACATATCCTGTTTTAAGCGCTGTTGTTTATAACCTCTTTGGAAGCTGAAACTTCAGTATATTTGCTGTATGTATTTCTTTCTGATGGTAAAATACATATTGTTTTATGATGCTAGGATTACTGACATCTGTTGGGCTCTAAGCAACTTAGCAAGATCAAAGGAAGAATGAGATTCTTATTTGCACAACAGGTATAGCCAGGACTGCAGCAGTTAATGCTAACAACATTAGCAGTATCTTAAATGTCATGCCTTAAAACAATCTAGCTTTCAGAGATTAGAATGATATCAAAAGTGTGGGCCACATAATCTGCCCACTGATAGCGTTGATGTCTGAATCACACCTTCCCAGCTTTCGTGAGGATCCATCTAGTTTTCTCTCTGGAGAAAACAATACATGCAAAAACACAGAAGCAGTGTGAGCAACTTCTGCTCTGGTTGCATTTGGCCCTCTACTCTGCAGCACAATCCACTTAGCTGCAAGTGGACAAATAGGGGCCAGAAAAAACTCCCAGGCAGACTTTCACACTGAGGTAGGGTCTGGGTATGACTCTGTGTTTCACCTGTAAGATTATTTTGCAAGGGTGTCTGTGGTTAATATGCACTATGGTAGCAAAGAGAGTTTATTTCTGATTTGGAAGGAGCCCTTAGAACTGCCAATTGATAATGAAAAGGAAGTGTTATAGCCAGTTAGTTAACTTCCTCCAACCTTCGTTTCAACGCAGGGGAACATATCTGTGTTTGATCAGCCAAAAATTACACACCCTGAGCTCAGATTCTGCTTTGATCTTCCTTTGATCATACACTTCCCAGGAAAATGGAACTTGCTTGCATTTAGGGTTTGACTGCAGAACAAGGAAGCAGACACAATGAACAGGAGGCAGACAACACATTGTATTGATTCCAATTAGTAAGTAGTTCAGTTCAGATAAATATAAATATAAATATGTATGTATAAATATGTGTATATATACATGTATATATATGTATATATATACGCACACAGATATATGTGTAAGTGGAAATAAACATATATAATTGAAAGACCATGGACACAAAAAGGCATATTTTCTAATATTTTTGAAATCCAGTGTTCTACTGTGCTTTGGTTTACAGTCAATGGTATATTTAGAGAATATTGTTGCAGTGTTTTCTTTCCTTAGTTGTATACCTCATCTTTCCCACATGAGGGTACAACTGAGCAAGATGTAAATTCACTTGTGGATGATCAACCATTATAATGTGAAGTAAAGCCATCCCCTTCTCCATCCTAGATGAAGCCACTGTTAAATGTGGCTTCTCAGCCTGGAGTTCTCAGAGAGCTCTGTAGTGGCCAACTGCATTTTTTGCAGTTATAGTTCTTATTTTATGGAGCACTCAAAAGAAAAAATAATTTGGGAATACAACAGTGTCTTCCTGGTCGGATGGTGAGGCAAATGAGAAGCCATGCTTCAGAGAACATCTGCTATGTCTAGAACCCAAACCAAAACACAACATATTCACAGGCACAGAGCCCCAGCAAAGCCCTTGTCCTTTCCCTGCTGCAGCTTGCACAGCTGTGGATGCCAATGCAAAGCTCTGCTCAGCACTGTGGAGCAAGAGCAGCAACATAATAAATCTCTAAGTTACTTATGCTGCAAGTGAGTGAATTAGTTAAAAACCTAGTTTTTCAAAGTAAACCTTGATTTTTCAGGTGAATACACAGATGAGTCCATAACACCTCACACTAGGATTCTAGGACATGTAGCTCTGGATGAACTAGCTCTCCAGGCCTTCTAATATTTATTTCTCTTAGGAGAGGAGAAAGGTGTACTTCTTCATGCAATGAAGTTCAAACCAGTCGAGGGAGTCAACTGTGCCCCTTAGACAACTTCACCTCCCTACCTCAAGGCAACCTAACTTTACTTTCTTAAATGTCTGGCTAATATCTTATGCCAGAAATGAGATTGTGTTTGCTGATATTTGGTAGTGGCCAAATGCACAGGACAGCACAGGGATGGAACGATGTGAGAATTGCTCTTGTGGAAATAAAACTCAAAGTAATTTCAGAAGCATAATGTACCTTTCAAACTTGGACACAGCTGCAGAATTAGTCAAGAAGAGATTATGGGGCAATTCTAGCAGTGTTTAAACCATGTGTACCCTGATCATCTTCTGATACACGCACATAGGCATAAGATAGTGACACTCTGGTAGCACATCCTTTGGGGACCTTTAATGCTTCCTGACAAAAATCTATTGGCCATGTGAAACAGAAACAAAAAAAAAAAAAACCCTAAGAAAACAAACACATGATACAACTTATTCTTCCTGGATTCTCTTAAAGCTACTATAACATTCCTCATAAATTATCTTGCAAAATCTTGAGATTTAGAAGCAGCAGTGATGGCCACATTCCACCACATCTCCTGCACCATCAAGTGGTTAGAATCACACACCACAGGTGTGTGGAGGTGCTAAGAGGAGAAGGAGGCAGCTATGCCTTTATCTGTCCTCCTTCTGCCAATGCTGAACAGAAAAGCAAATGTGGCACTGTCTCAGCATTCATAAAAGAATGAAGAAAGTTCTTACTAATTATGATGATATACGTTTAGCTTCTGCGCTGGAAAAAGACAAAAAAAACAATAGAAAAAGTCTTCTTAAGAAATAGTCACTTCATTTGCAGAGAATAATGCAATGATGAGCAATAAGAGGCAGGATTTATAAAGAATAGATCTTGCCTGACAAAGACAATCCTTTTTTAAGGAATTACCAAATCAATGGATGAGTGGAAGACAATAAATGTAATACTCTTGGATTTAAGCCATTTTTTTTAAACAATTGGTCTGATCATCCTCTGCCGCAAAGCCAAGCAGCTACACTGACATAAAACAGGAGAGCATGAGAATGGAAGATTGCCTCCAATGCTTCCCAAAATCATTCTTAAAAAGCTTGACTGAACTTGCATGTGAAAAAAAAAATCTCATTTGGTCTGAAGTCTGAAATGAAGGACCAAAACAAGGCTAACAGACAAAGAAAATAACACCAGTTTATAGGGAGGACATGTAAATATATAAGGATCAGGGTTTGGTTTTGCCTGGTGTAATACTTCCAGTAATCACAGAATTACAGAAGAATCTAAGTTGGAATGAGGTAGAAAGAAGCATAAACAACATATTAATAATATTCATAGTTGTTTTGCTAAATTGAGAAAAGACAAGAAAACCAGAGAGGCCAACACCATGGGTCAGAGGGATTAATTAGTAACACAGGCCAAAATTAACAGAACGAGAATCACCTTGGAAAAATACCATAAAGGACAGGCACTAGAGAATGGAAAATTAGCTTGGAAGATGATTTCTCTTAGAGGAAGGTTCTTTGATGACAGAAACGTCATAAGGCCTAAGAGGATAAAACCCAGCAAGTTACTTTCAGGTGTCAGAGAAATACAGAGTAGGAAAGGTTAGTGTAGCTTGTGCGTGTGTATGCAAAGATGCTGCAGCTGAGAGAAGCAAGAGCCATTCTCTGCAAGACTGAGGTGGAATGTGTGGGGAATATTGCTTCATTTCTAGGGAGATTTTCACAAACTACAGGGCTGTTTAAAGAACCACAGCACAAATAAGAGCATTGAGAGGAGCTGGTGCCCAAGGAGTGATTAAATTAGAAATGCAGAGATTGAGCAGTGACCAAGTGTGTGACATTAACATTAAAAAGTGCAATTAGCAAGCAAGAACAGAATAGAAATAGGGGCAGCAACAGGAACAAAAAGACAGCAAGAACAGGTTTGCAAGAGAGACCCAGAGGACTTTTCTCTCTTTACTGATTTTACGATAGGTATAACAGACTTAACAGCTACACAGCCTGGGCTTGGCTAGAGATCCGTGCCAGGCTCAATGTGCTGAGTCTTCTTATTTCCCTCACTCTCTTAGTTGTACCTTGGGCTCAGTTCTCAGTGTCCTGCCTCTTGCTCTGATTGCCCTGGCCATGTTCCCAATCAGGTCTCTCTTGGCATTGAACCAGATGTGCGTATTCTTTGTTTGAGATACTATCCTATAACATGGAGGACAGACACCTCACTCCCATCAGGACATATTTCCACAGGACCTGGTTCTTTCCTAGCGACATGGTACTTAGGATGGTTTCTGTGTTGGTATTATTATGAGATCTCAAGAGATTTGTCTGAATATTTCTCATGTAGTCCTAATTGAGATTCTCTCCAAGCCTATTCCCAGCACAAAAGAAGATGCAGAATTTGCAGGTAAAATTGTGTTCCTAATGAAATAAGGAATGAGAGTTTGGAGTGAAAAGAAAAGGGTGAAAGAGCAGAATTGTATTAAAATCTCTCAGAGAATATGCTGGGGTAAAAGAGGAATTGTCCATAAGGAGGCTGCCTATGGAGTGTTTGGCACAAGTCACTAAACATGAAGGCTGACACACTAGAGAATATGACCAAAGCATCTAGATGGAGCCAAGGTTAAAGCAGACATAGAGAATTTTCCAAAGGATTAGGTCTATCATTGGTAGGTCATGTAAAGAAAGATGAAGAAAATGCTTTCTGTTCATCCTAAAACACCCAAACATTGTCTTATCTTACTGCCTCTGTCTCAAGACACAGCCTTTATGGTCACAGTACACATGAAAGGTCAAAGATTTCTGCTGCAAAACCACAAGAAGCTTCTCTTAAACATTTTTCCACTGGAAATAGCTCCCTACATCCACAATCCTCCTTTTATAGAATGAATTTTAATAGGTATCTTTTTTCTTTTGTTCCTCCTGACTGCTTCAGTTTTATTGTGGCTTTGCCTCTGTTTTCATTTTCATGCTCTTTCCCTTCTACTGCATTATGAATTCTCATTTTACTTGCTGAAAGTTAGAGCTACTGTACATATATTTAGAATACATGGGGGTGTATGTGGATACAGATATTAATAGATACATAAGCATTACATAGCTCTCATTACTGTTCCAATATTATCAATTTTATTCACCATATGCCATGCTATGCAGTTCTCACCTTCACTAACTTTGTATGGCTGTTTGCACATGGTCCATTAAAAACACACACAAATATCCAGTATTTCAGTATTCAGGATACCCTTTGGCTCATATGCTTCTTGGCTCAAATGTGATACAAAGAACCTGGTAATAAAAGAATATCAGACTAATGTGGCTGACATTTGCCCTGAAGAGGGAATTTTATGAGAACTAAAGCAGCATCAGCATAAATCTGTTTTATCACATTTAAACAATGGGCAGAGACATCAGCATAGACAGTCAGAAAACAGCTTACATCCTGTTCATCAAAGAGAATTCATGTTCATTTTCATTCCACAGCATTTGTCCTCATTTTTACATCATAAGGCCAAGGAAAAAAACCAGTCTAGTGCCATCCAGTACTTTATAAATCATAGCATTTGAATATTTTGTTCTATATGAATGGCTGATGTACCTAAAACTAGCACATCTTTTTGTATTTTAAAGCTTCATTTTGCATGAAGACACTGGACAGAACACGGCATACTGCCATAATAGGCAGGAACTGATGTTTTAAGAATTCAGCTCTGCAGGTAACAAGAAGTTAAAAAGCAGGAATAAATTCCCTTTTGATATAATTCAAAATCCCACAGCCAGATACTGTGTTTCATTTTGATCTCTATACACTGCACTTTCAGCTCCATTTTCTAAGGCATTATAATCATTCAGCCATTAATATTTCTCATCCCTTTCTAAACCTCACACCAGATAGAATCAGCCCCTGGGGAACATCTCCAGAAAGGGAGATGCTGTGGCAGCACAGAGCAAAGAGGTTTCCCCGGAGCACCATGCATGGTCCTAAAAGGAGGGAGGAACCAGCAGTTCTTAACCCACATCCTCCAGCAGCTACATCCACGTACCTTGCTCTGCAGGATACAATCACAGCCATGTATCACCCCCATTAGGATCCAGACTGCATCTCTCTGATTGTCATGGAGACTGTTTCAAAGTCTTGCCGTGCTCCAGCAGCAGCAGCAGCAGCAGCAGAGGACAATAGCACTTGGTCTTAAATGGCTGAAAAGAAAGCAACAAAGCACAGTGTAAAAGGGAAGGACCTGTGGCTGAAATGGATAAGAGTACAGCAAGACACTCTTCTCACTGCTGCAGAGGGCTAGAGGTGTAGGTTAGGGCAACCTTCCAGGGGTGTATAGCTGTGCCTTCAAGATAAGCAAAGGAAGAGCATTCTCAAGGATAGCACATTTCTCCTCCTTCTTTCTCCCCCTCAAGCTAAGTTGCTGGGGTGTTTTAGATTAAATGTGTTAATTAGGAAACTATTTCGTTTACGAGGTCTTCTGCTTTTTCATTCCCGTGGGCACTGTAAACACACTGAGTTTTGGAGTAAGTGATATACAGTGTCTCGGAACGAGAGGCAGGCAGAGGCACAGGCAAGTGCAAGGAATTAATAGAGTTGGTAGTTTACAAGACCTGAGGCAAAGAAGTGATTTTCAGAAGAGTGAGGCAGCAGTTTTGTGTCAAATAGCAAATTTGCTAAGAATTGCAATTTATGACCATCCATAAGCTATTTTTAAGTCAGGTCAGTTCTCAGAAGAGACGGGAGTAAAAGGTACAACTGAGCAACATAAAATGCAAGCAAACATAAAATGCAAAATTCAAATGCAAAACCAACTGGGTTTAATCCCATCTCAGGAAAAAAAATTGTAAGACCAAACTGTCACTGTAAGTGCACTTAATAAAATAGAAGTATAAACGTCTGAAAAATTGTTTGGTGACCTACCTGTTAAGATTTTCATATTACCAAAAAAAAGGTCACAGAATTTCTCCAAGGACTGAGCAAAAGCATTATGGATAATTTTAACATTTTGATCTGAGTCAGTTCTTTGAAAATGTGAAGGACACTAGGACTCACAAAAGGGGAGTAAAAGGTTACACTGGAATCAGAGGAATAGTAGAGCTAAAGATGCTTCCACAAGCTTCTTCCACTGCATTTAGAGCAGACTTGATGTAAGAAGCAGATCTGCTGTGGAACAAACCAATACAGTGGAAAATCATGCTCAGAGTAAAAATGAAATATTTTCCTTTGGAAAATGAAAAAGATGAGTCTAATCAGCATGTAAATCTCATGGTAATAAACAAAGCAGGCTTCAAATCTCCTGGGAATATCCTAGGCAAAATTCTGCACCATGAAAACTTCACTGCTTGCTCTTACAAGGGTACAATTCTTTGAGGTGAAAAAATTCCTGTAGCAGATCCTTTCTTGAGGAAGACATGGAGGAACAGGAGCATGAGATAAAACAATTGCTAATGTCTGCCAAAAGAAAAAACCCACAGAAATTATGAGAGTGACAACAGAGTGACATTTCTAAGAAAAATGTTCAGATCAAGGCACCCTGCACAAACCCAACAGCTTTTCCACCTTGCTTGGAAAAGCAGTTTACTGTGAGCAAAGTGAAAGGAAAAAAGCTGGAGAAAATTAGTTTAGGTGCAACATAGGAGTCTGGGAGCCACATGGGTTTAGGAGCTGTTTGGGGTGCTGGAACAGCCTGCAAAGCAATCTCTTTGCTCCCGGGGGCCATCAGAACTGGCAGGACACCACCCACACCAGCACAAGCGTTAGGTGATGATGCTGTACTGTACCCGTGCTTATGTGGAATGCTTAATTCAGCTGAGAGAGGGAATTTCCCCTAATGAACATACAGCTCGTGACTAAGGTCCACTGCCCTGAGCAGGAACACTCCAGCTGGTATCTGCAGACTTCTGCTGGTTGCAGGACTACTGTGTTTTATTTGCACACAGAGGGAATGTGAAAATGTAGGTAAGAAGCAGTTCTGGGGTGCTGAATTTTGCTCTCTGCATTTTCCTTTCACTGTGCTAGGTCAAGCAGCTGAAAGTAGGTTGTCATGTTTGAAAATTCAAAAACTCACTTATTTACCACTCTGCTGTGCAGGTTTCCATCCCTGGGAGCAATGCCTGAGAGAGGACACTGCAGATCACAGAGTGTGATGGGCAGAAAAATACACTATGTGAGAGGGTCAGATTTTCCATGTGAGATATTTCATATAATTCTGAGGTAGATTTCACCTTGTAGCCTCTTCCTAAGAGATCATTTTATATGTATAGCAGAATACAAATTCCCCTAGTTTCTCTTGTATGTATGAGGTGCCCTGTAAAATAAATATCAGTTACACAGCAAATTGCCTTTACTATACTGTGCACATTTTTTTAATCCAGTCAATTACCTGGCTTCATGTAGAGAAAATTAGTGATAGAATAATTTCCTCTGTCTCTCATGGACAGAATTATACTATCATTTACATGTCAGACACCTGTGGGGTGCCCAGGAATGCTCTGAAGCTTTCAATGCCTGTCTGCTCCCAAGCTTTTTGACCCAAGCACAGAGCTGCAGCCATTTTGTTCAGGAATAACACACCTCCTACATGGTCACAGCCTTCATTAAGGTGTAATTTATAATGTTTCAATAAAAAAAAATATTAATTTTATTCTCTCTATTCATAAAGCGTAACTGCTCAGACAGAAGGAGATTATGTTAATAAACATGTTGGCACCTCTTCTTGGGGAAAGGGTAAGAGAATTAGGATTGTTCAGCCTGGAGAAGAGAAGGCTTTGGGGTAGCTTGATTTGCCCTTCCAGTGCCTGAAGAGAGGCTGAAGAGGCTCTTCAGTGCCTGAAGAGAAGAAAGATGGAGAGAGAATATTTCCAAGGGCACCTAGTGACAGGACGAGGAGGGTAGGTTTAGATTAGATATTAGGAAGAAATTTTTTACTGTGAGGGTGAGGGTGGTGGAGCACTGGAACAGGTTGCCCAGAGAAGCTGTGGATGCCCTGTCCCTGGAGTTGTTCAAGGCCAAGCTGGGTGGAGCTCTGAGCAATGTCAGCTGGTGGAAGGTGTTGCTGTCCATGGCAGCGAAGTTGGAACAAGGTGATCTTTAAGGTCCCTTCCAATGTAAACTATGCTATGATTCTATTAAATAAGAACTCTGAAGGGCAGCACAAGAGGGCTACTAAACATCAAGCAAATCCATGTGAAGCAAATGTCATCAGCAAGATACTGAAAAAAACAATATAAGCCGATCAAAAGGAGATTTGCAGATAAGCAGTGTGATAATGTGATCAGATGCACAAAATACTCAGGATTTTATGGGTTTTGCCTTGAATTTTTCTGAGAAAATCAGTCAGCAAGAAAATCAGTTTTCTTATGCACTAAAACCTGTATTTTTGCTGCCACCACCAAGTTCAAACCCCACTTAACTCTGAGATTTCCTCAGATGAGGATAATATATGTCACTCAGTCAAATTTCTAAGAAAAAAAATCCTAGCTTTATCACCAAAGTGAGCAGTTTAGAGCAAGTCCTCTCCAGGAGCTTGCACATACTGGAGGTGCCTCTGCAGCCTGAGCCGGGTCTGTGCAAGGGCTGCCTGCTCCTGGAGTTCTGGTGTGCTTACAGTGGCAAACACACACATTCCAGGAGAGGGAGATGGCTGAATCAAGTGACAGGGATGCAGAAGGAGGTGCATTAATCTTCAGTCCAGAGAGATTCACAGACCATTGTTCCCAGAAATTGAAGAGCTTTTAGAAGTTTTTCAGCACTTAAGGCAATGATAATTACATTCCTACCTCCAGCATGGCTTGGAAAGGGACTGATTCTCTGCTGTACTGCCTTGGGATAATACAACAAGAGCAAATAAACTTGAAGAATTCTGGTTTTCCTTTTTAGCATGCACCACACACACTGGCTGCTGAGGACTCATAGTGGAAGGTCTGTTGGCTGACTCGGGAATCAGTGTTTTGTCTCCATAAAATATCCATGGCAAGTAAATATCAGTGTCCATGTGCAGCAGATGTGCAATGTGAAGGCTGGCATAGTCCCACTGTAGTCAGCAAGGCTGGAGAAGGAAAGCAGAAACCCTCTCGAGCCAGGCCAAGCTGGGCACTGCTGCCTGGTGCTGGGGACAGATGTCCCCTCCCACTGCAGCCAGGCTGTCCCCAGCCCTTTCCCTTACCTGGCCACTGCTGCGGGGGTTGCACATTTCCACCTTGGCTCTGACAGATTGATGGCTGCTTGCTTCGGGTGAGCAGGTCTGGCAGAAGCAGACCTTAAGCAAAACTTAAGAGTTTGCAAAAGAGAAAAAGCAAACAGAAAAACTGCTTTGCAAATTACACACAATAACTTTTTTTTCTTTCCTTTTTTTCTTTCTTTCTTTATTTTTTTTTTAAGTTCTTGGCACATTTCACCCCTGTAACCTTTAATATTTGTAAAACCCAGAGCTTTTGCTATTTCGCTGCACACACCAACCCTTCGCTTCTTCTCCCAAATAAGCAGATTTATGATGAAACACAGCAGGTGTTAAAATGTTATGCACAATTAGTAATACTGGAAGCTTGTTTTCCACCATATTTCAAATCAATTGAGATAGAGGGGAGGGCAGATTTCTAGGTTGCTAATAGCCTAGCTGCAGCACAAGGGGAAAAAATGTTATGATTGCTTCAGGTAGATTTTTTTTTTTAATTTGGTTTTGTAGTCTGATCATCAGTGAAAATAAGATGTGTGCTCTATGGTCTCTGTAACCTAATGCCATTAAAGAAAGCACTGGAGCATGTTTTCATTATAAACTACTTTCAACTCTGGTCAGCTCTAGCTTGGAAATCACACAGAAAGTGAACTGAATGACAGAAAAACAACAAGAGGATTAGAGTTAAGGAAAGGTTTTAGGACTTTTTAATTTCTCTTGGGGAGAGATTAATAGTATCAGGACCTTCTGGGCAGCACTTCTGCTAGAGGCAACACATGGGAAGAGGCACTGCTGGTAGGCAGCCCACAGGCCACTTAGGATTTATAGCACAGGTCAAACCAAACTGTAAACACCAGGAGACTAATAGGGAGACAGCTTGGCTCTGTGCAGCACTGGTGTCTTGGTGTTGATTAGATTAATTCCTAAGTATTTGGGCTGCTGTTTTGAACCAATTTTTTTCCTAAGGTGAAAACCTGAAGAAAAAATTTTGAACACAGGGAAAAGGCATATGTACCAAAGCAAAAGAGGTGGTCACAAGGTGTAAGCAGAGCACAGATACAGAGGCTGCAGGCTCCCTGGATACTCGTTCTATATAATCAGGCAAGGGGCTGTGTCCCAGAGCAGGCCGAGCCATGGCCTAGGCT